TGCCCCGCGCGGCGAAGGAAGAGACGCAGACGCGGCAAAGGACGAGTCGCAGCGCATACTGTAGCGGTTAGGCGTCAGGTTAAATAGAGTGTACCATACTACGTCTCATATCGCACAGCACGCGCTGCGACTCGTCCTTTGCCGCATCTGCGTCTCTTCCTTCGCCGCGCGATGGGCCTCTTGGGGGACACCCATGAGCCTACGGTGTTGATGATAACAAGTGGTTCGTCTGAGTGGAGGCGAAACGGACCACTAAGTCTCCTTAGGTTCTCCTTAATTTAGGTTGAATTATACTCCTTGCTTTCTTTCTTATTGCCTGTGACTAGTGTAAGATGTGCCATGCATCTGCTTTCTGTCAGGGATTGTGGAGACGTTAACAGGGTCGAGTTGTGTGGTGTACCGATGTAAAAGTTGGGCATTGAGAAATCCCTTATGAAGTACCAAGCACTAAAAAAGTTGTACGCACTTTTGAAGCGATTTGGCCTTACAATAGTTCTGGGAGACCAGGCAAGCCAAAGCATCCATTCCCTTCATGAGTCCGGTACTAACCAAACGATTCCGGATTCTCGACATAAACGACAAAAAGCCAAAGGAAGGTTGAGGAAGTCAAGAATTATAGCCATAGCATAGCGCACGGTTTCGAAGCGGTTTGGCCGACTTGTCTGGAAAAACTGCAGCCTTGGTGGTCTCGATCATAGTGGTCGACCAGTTTTGACTGATGCTGCCTCGTCAATGACTCACACAAACAAATCACCGTTAGCAGTGCGATTTACGGGAGATCTAAGCACCTCCTAAGCCATTTTCACATATATCAGTGCCAAAAAAGCTTCCAGCTTCGAGTTTGGGCACCTTCAAGCGCATGACTTTACAACACATCAACATTCGATCATGTGTCATGCTGTCATAACCTCCTTTTTTGGACCCATCAACCCTAACGTGGTTACGTTAAGTAAAAAGTCGTGCCATCACGCCAACTGAAAACACGAAGCTTCAGTGAGCTACCGCTGAAACAATGCCCGAATATGGCACATGGCAAAACCCCCATCTGGTGAGGTGTTGCTGCCCATTTGGTGGAACACCGACCGTCAACCACTGGAAACTCCTCCATGAAAACGCCATAATCGCCGCGAATGAATGCCTGCCGTCAGACGAGAGAAATGGCGCAAAAACGTGCAGTTTCACGGCCGGGAATGGGATGAGTACGGCTGCTGCGTGACAACTCAAAACCTCCTCGTCGAAGCCAACGTGCTTACAACTGCTTTCAACATTCTCTCCAAACATTATGGCCGAAGAACTAATGAAGGCCTTCGTCATTGATCGTACTATTGTGCCACCTATTTACAGCGTTTTTCGGGCTACACCGTAGCTTTTGGATGACCTACGATAGCTAGGATGACCAGTGGAAGGACAGTGGGAAGTCTCTGACGCGCAGCCTCATTTATCCTCTAAACGGAGATTCGACTCCCTCCCTACCTGTACCTTGCAAGTTTCGGCTCGAATTAATGGTGTGATTCAGCGGATAGCTCGTTAAACCTTCATTGTGATGTTTCATAGCAGGTACAACATCGGTTGCACATAAAACTGCTGAATCGGCTTGATTCACTGAGGCAGTTTAGGTGATCCAGTGCGGAGATTCTTTTTGATTGTTCATGAGTAGAAGGAGATCAATTGGTGCACTCTACTAGGAATTCATCAGAGTGCCAAAGCATGCGTATTCTTCGGGTACTGGAATTTTTATTAGCTTCAATTTTTCGGCGCGGTTACGAAAATATCGCTCTCACAATAGCGGCGGAGCCAACAAAGGGTTCGATTGAAGGCGGAAGTTACGCTGAAAAGGCAACCCATTTCAAATTAAGTTAAGGAAGGAAAACCATGAGAAACGGCCCGGAACCCGAGAAATGGGACCCCTTCCTTGCCCGTTGATTTCCGCATTGATGCGACTCTCATCGTGCCCTCTTCAACGCTAACGCTCTCTCTATGTCGGTGGGCGTACCGCGCCAACTGCGCCAAGAGTGAGCCATGCTAGATCGCCGAGGTCAAATCTTTCGCTGCCAATTGCGCGTCGGTCCGCACCCTCAGGAGGTCCGCCTGTCTCCCACTAGGCAATTTTCCCCTTCTTGACCTTCGTTCCTACTGTGTGAATTCCTCCTTTAACACGATTGGACGACAACGGCGGGGGGAGATAGTATGTCGCCGCGCACGATTGCAGGCCATTGCCGGACCGTGCGGGGATAGTATAGTCCGGCCTGCGACGATGATTGGGGCCTCATTGTTATTCGTGGGCGGTACGCCTGATTGTCTTGTGATAAGTTGCGTGTATTCATTGTCAGTGGAAGGAGACCTTGAGGCGTAGCCACAAATAGGTAGGGGCGCTTTAGAATATGGTCCGTTATACTTTAATTTAGAGGGTAGGTATTTGATACGTATAGCAAAAGCTTCAATTTCAACAAATTTTTCGCTTTACTGTTGACTTTTGTGTGGATTGTGTAGCGAGGTTAAATAGAGTAAAAGTAGACAAAAGCTTCGAAGGATGGAGCTGATATGTTGTTTGATCGAATTATCAAGTTGTAAAGATATGCCTTGGGAGCATTGCGGCTGCTTCTGGAAGAATTCGGCTTTTGTCGGTTGTCAGTTCATGATTGGAATTTCCGGGGGGGGGCGAGATCTCCACTAGGCTGTACAAGCGATAATGTTATTGCGTCATGCTACATTTTACTGCATTTCGGTTTTGAATTGGATTACGGAGGGGTTGCGGAGTTTAGTCACGGTGGCCGAATATCTGCGGGGGGTTGAGAGCGACGCGTGGAGGCGAGCGCGCCTAGCAAAAATTCGCCGCGGTCGCCACGTGGCCCAGAAAAGCCAAAACTTTCGCCGGTGGTCAGTCAATGTGTTGAATGGCTGGATGACGTCGCGATCCTGCATTGCAGTTTATAAAGGATATTCGGTCGCAGAGTATGGTGTCGGAGTAAGCCTTCTGACGTTGGACTGAACTGTGTAGAATAGCAATTTGTATTGCTGAAAATTTGAAATGGGGAAAAGTATTAATAATCAAGTAAAATCGCATGGCCATTGTAGAGTTTTAGGGTGTTGATGACGGGACCGTCTTCCCCCTTCTACGAGTCAAAAAGGTCTCATTTCCCCTTTCCCCATTTTCTCAACGTCATTTTCCTGTTTCGCTTCCCTATCCTAACAAAAACAATCAAATCATCCATTAGTTTGAGTGCCTCGTATTTGCTTCGACTCAGAGTGCACATTGAATTCTTTCAAATGCGTTGAATGGAGATCCTGAGTGCGGGGGGGGCGCGATCGCTGCGGCGAAAAAATATGGGGTATGATCAAGCAGTGGGGTTATTCTTGGGTACTGGTCTGAGCAGGGAGAGAATGGGCGCTGGCGGGGGCAGCAGACTGCGACGCTTTTCCCTGCCCGTTATATAGTGCCAAGTACGTTCTTATCACCTCAAAGTGAGATTCAGAATGGAGGAGGAAGCGCCGGAACGAGGGAGTATTTTTGCCTGGTGTGTGTCCTTCATCTCTCCTGGATGCTCTGAGCAGTTCGGGGGTATGGGAGTGCAGCCAACATCGGTCTTCTGTGCAGGGAGGGGGGCTGTCGTGGAGGTGGCTTTCGTGACGGGTGTCAGCCTTTCGTCCACGGGTGGACGACCCTACTCAGAACACCGAACGTGGTGCATTGTTTCGCAAGCAGCGCTTAGCTGGAGGTTGTCAGAAGTGGTTGATTGACCGTGCTGGCGGGAGCTCGCAGCAACAACAGCCCCAGGGTGCAGGAGAACACTTCTGTCCTTTCAGCCAGAAATGCATTGCACACGCTGCTTGCGTGAGCCATCGGGGCGGATACCGCTTTCGGAGTTTTCCTGTTGCGGGGGCTGTTCAGCGTTGTGTGGGAGGACTTTTTGAGAAGTTCGGCGTTCACTTTTTCCTTCTTGCTCGATGGCTGTCTGTCCCGCTGAGGAGGTCCGAGGGTTCCTTCTTGGCTTCGAGATACTCGAGCTTCGGATGGCTCAGAAGGAAGTACCGCACCTTTGCAGCCACTTCTCTCGGATTTTCTTATCCTCATCTGGCAAAGAGCACCCGCCGTTCATCTCAACCTTGACCCTGAATATGCGCTCTCTCAAATTTTAAAACCACGTTGGCAGAAAATCTTCAGGGCTAGACCAATCGATTAGCTACAGGATTGGGTAGGCTTTTTTTTCCCCTTGAAGGAAATGTTCACGCAGATTTCATGCTAACTAAAAACTACAACTAACCGCTAAGGGGTACTTGGTATTTTTCGTGCAACAGTATTGTAAAAACAAAATTTCAGGAGATTCCGTCGTCCTGGCGTATCCCGACGAGTCCCTCTTCGCCCTGTTCCTCTTGGGCGATGAGGTGAGCACAGTCGATTAGGGCGTGGTTGTCTTCAAGAAGAGTGTTTCTCCCAATGAGGAACTGTTCCAGCTTGCTCGACCTTCTTGCTCATCGAATCTTCGTATGTACAGTACTTCTGAAGTATACGTTTAGAAATTGATATTACATAATAAAGCCACGCTCATGTGTTTCTCTCAGCATTTTTGAATGGAGATTCCAAAAACCTTGCACTATTCTAGGCTTGAAATTTTGATTTATTCTTAAAATTTTTCTCACTAATTAATCATTTCTTCAGCTTTCATCTTTCACTGTCCCTTTCGCCTTCTGACCACCTGTGCCTCTTTTGATGGAGTGCTGTTTCCCATGTACCATTTGCTTCTGTGCCTTTCGTCTCTTTTCCCCTTAACTCCGTGTGTTTTCCTCGATTTTGTCGAGTTTCGAATAGCCGGGTCAAATAAATCTTTCACTTTGTGTATGTGCATGGGTTGGTGATCGGCATCGGGACGACCAAGCAACTGCAGATGATAGCGATGGAGGCGGGGCCCCCGTAAGGGGAAAACCTGGTCCGCAGCCCCGAAACTGGATCGTCATGAAATAGCGCGGCGGCGTCAGAGGCGCAGATCGCCGCGCCAGTCGCCATGCGTCGCGCTCGCGATGTGGTCGTCGTCGTGGTCGTCGCCGCTTTGTTCGGCGCGATTTTCGCTGACGACAATGTCGTCGAATTCTCGTCGACGACGACGTCGACCGCTGATGATGCCGACGTCGTCAGTGTCTATCGGCTTCTGCCACGAAATCACACTCAATTCAATGTCATTCAACGCCTCTACGATAATTCCACAGTGCTTGAGGCAAGTTTCCCTGCAGTTTTCTTCTCCTTTCTTTTCTTCCTTTTTTGCATTTTCACTCACATTTCTCTTTTCTTGCTTGTCTTGAAGTGTGGTCGCTTCTCTATCGAACTTTTTTCAAGAACGATAGCCTCTCGAAAACTTTCTTATAAATCACCTTCAGCAGTTCTTTGCATTTCCTCTCTCACCTTTTCAATTCTCTTCGATTCTCACCTTTCAGGTTTCAGACAAAGACAAAGAAACCTCATCGGTGTGTGATCGTGCTTCAAAAAAAGCTCCTCCTTTGAGAATTGATTTATGAACACATGTATACGCTGATTTAAGAGGAATGACTCCGCAGGCGGGCAAAAGAAGCGAGCCTCCCTTTTTGAGTATTGTAGCCACAGCCGCATGAAAAGGGATATTGTCGAGTGTATCCAGCCATATCAGCTAACAGAGCCTTTCCGTTGAACGGAGGAGGGTGGCTGCAAAGTGACCTTTTCGAGACAATCTACGAAAGATTTGGACGCTAGCAGCGCAACCAATTAGTTGCGGGCGCAAGGAAATAGCACGCGGGACAGTAGCTGACTAGCCCATGTCTCGTTTCCCTCCTTGTTGAGTTCGTCCACGTTATCCCCCTTCGAGAAAACCCATCCTCCGATAGTCTTCCACTGCGTGGTCCTTTCCCTCGCTACGTTGGTCTTTTGCAGCATTCTCTCTCTGATGCTTCAAAGATATCACTCTCTTCCTCCCGGACAACTGTTCCGATCCAAAAACACCCCTTCTTTTCGATTCGACTCGGGAAGCTGCACAAGGGCGGCGTCCTCACAACGAGATTTGTTTGTGGAAGTTTTGCTTGAATATATCGGGTCCTGCTAGCCTAAAGCATTACCTACTAAAAGTGATAGGAATCTCTTGAAAAGATTATTGATCCTTAGCAGTCTCAGAAGTAGAAGGCGTGAGCGAAAAAAGCGTTAGAGTGGACCTAATCCGTTTGAGACCTGCATCCTGAAGCGGACGGTTTCCAGTGAGTGCATTGGTATACCAGTCGACTAGAAAATCCGTTTTTCATAAGAATCCTCAACTAAACTGCGTGGCGTACTCCCTGAGGGGTGGACCAGGATTCAATTTCTTCACGTTTCTGGAAACCAAGTTATTCCTTCCATTGGAACAGTCAAACAAAAGTCCCATAGGTCGATCGTTAGCTAAAAGTTAGCATAAGATCGAACCAGACTGGATTCTTCTTACATAAAGTCAATTGTCCAAAGCACCCATCAAGACGCAATCGCTCCATACTTCAGCGAGATTCCTGGTTAATAATAAGTGCATGGCGCATCCAACCGCGGGATCACTACCACTCCTTTGAGAGACCTAGAAGAGAAGGCCTAGAAAGTCCTTTGATTTTCTGGGAGAGAATATGTTTGATTCTACTGAGTCAGAACAATCATGGCCATTACAGTTCGACGTAGACCTTTTTCCAGAATACGCCACGCACTTGCTTTTTGTTGAAGCTCGAGAACACATTTGACCGCACATTTGACATATTTGACAAGTTAATGAACAAGTTTCCCTCAACGCCGGTTGTTAACACCAACCAACTCAGCGATCTCAGATCTATGGGAAGTTCCCTTGACCCGGGAAGGTTCGATAACAAGAGCTGAGAAATGCCGCCTTTTGCCACTTCACCAATACCACTTACACATTACCACTAAAAAATATTACCTTCATGTTAAAAAGTAAGTAGCTTTTTAGATGCGAAGTCTGTTTATGTAAAAGGATTCGCTTGGACCAGTTTTGCTCAGAAGGTCGACCGACACGGTTTTTCTGAGCACTCTTACCCTTCAGCCTATTACTTACACTTGTTTGCAAGGTCACTTACGCTTCAGAAACTCTGCGATTCGCCCTTTTCACAACCACTTCAACTCAAAGATCTCACTACACAAGTGTTTATCTTCACTCCAAAATAAGTTGCAAATTGCCTACTTCGGTACATCGCAGAGCAACCAGTTCTGAACTTTTCCAACCATTTTAGAACGTCGTATAAAGGCTTCCTCCAATAACATTTGGAATACCATTGTAGGGGCCGTTCCGATCTCATTCACATTTTTCTCTCGCCTCGGTCTAGATCTCCCCAATGTTTCCTTTTATGGACATTTTTAGCTGCCATAAAGCATAACTATACTGAACTATTATTATTATCGTTTCTCAGTGATCGATCTTCTAAACGATTATGTTTTAAGCAAACCTGTTTCATATGCCTAAAGTAAAGAAGTTGCTAACGACTTTTATTATAATACCTTTTCCTACTGGAGTTCAAGCGCTCTGGGTGGCTTCTGAAGTAAGCAGCTTCCCGTCTCCCTCCCCTTTTTCTCAGCCCCGTTATGATGTTGCTAATTGGGGATAGCCGGCCAACCATCCCCTTAGAACACGTTTCTCAGAAAAGCCGTATCAGACGACTTTCGATTGCGGTGGTGCGGAACGAACGCACATACTGGGAAGCGATTTAAGACATTTCCACATAGATAACAGTTGCTAAGGAAGAGTCAGGGTTGAACCTGGGCAAATATTCGTCCGCACAAGCCTAGCGGGAGTCGTATTTGTGATTTTCGGAGGTGGGAGGAGAGGTGGTGTTTGCAGGTTAGCCTAGTCGACAGTAACTCTTGTAGCAATTCAGGAGTGTGTGGTGTGGAAGGGGCAAGAGGGAAAAGTAAAGATTAAGGTATTTATTTGTTCAGGCAATTTCAAAAAAGACGCATGAATGAGGTGAATGGCGCGTGAACATCCTAAAAAGTAGAAAGCGCGCAGTCTGAACCTGCCGGTTGATGGCATCCGATTGGGCTCTGCTTAGCACTGTATCAGAGGAGAGATACAGCATAAATAGTTCAAAAAATTTACAAAAGTAACTAAACCTCACTACATGCTAGTAAGCCATCCTCTATAGCACGCATCCATTCGAACGCTCCACGATTTCATTGACTATGGGACGAGTGGCTCATCTAGGAGCTTGGTAATCATGAAAGCTAAGGCCATTCAATTTGAATACATTTCTCTGCCACCATTCCAATGGCTTTGATTCCATGTATAAGCAGGCATGTTCCTTCTGATCTTCAACAATTAGAGCAGTTCAGGCGAACAGTGCTAAGGCCACGCAGATTATCACTTTTGACTTCTACCGGGCCAAATCAGACTCGGGGGAGCTGGCCTCTACCGCTCGAGATCCACTGACTGAAATGAAAGGACAGTAGACGACCCATTTGAGAGGGTTTCTTCTATTTATCTCGCTATCCCCGACTCAGGCAGCTGTATTTCTGGGAGAATAATAAGATTTGGAAGTAGCAAGACTGTTGATAGTAAGATCCCAATCCAAAGATTAATGTGTTCACTATTTCAAATGTCGGAAAGACAGAGATTCGAAGTAGAATGCATGGCGCAGAGATGGATCAGCGCTACGTAAACGTTTCCATAGCTTCACTTGGTAGCCTCTAATTAATGTAAAATATCTTCCAATGGAACATTCTTTTCCCTAGCTCTTTTTGACACATTCTTGTTCACCTAACCATAATTCCTATAGTTCCCCGTTCAAACGAGTTTCAAAGGGTTTTCATGGTGGTGGGGAATCGTATGTTTATGTAATGAATGTGATTAGATCGTGAATCTTCAGCTGTGTGATGGCGGTGTCAACGCGCCGCCAAAGGACGTGTTTCGGCCAATCAGTTACAGTTTTCGTTTCGTCAGGGTGAAATGGAAACATGGTGATGATTATCCCCTTTAACATAACACTTTTGAAGGGTGTCATGCATTCAACTTCCCGTTACAATCATGGAAACGTTCGCAACACGCTTGATACCCTGTAATCAGAGACCTGCTAACGATCGTGTTGTGATTGACCAGCTCACCTTGAAGGAATGCAAGACTTTTGCCGTTGCCCTAGATGAGTTCGATAGTTACCTAAAAGGAGGGTTCCACCATAAGATCAGGGGTCGTTGAAGAGGTAATATAATTAGTCGAAAGACATGCAGACCAGGGTTGACCATCCGTTCGCACTATTCGAATGAGGCTCGCATTTGCGGATTCTTGGGGTTTGGTAGAGGCGCTGCATGTTGGGACTGCGCAAGCTGAACCAGCCTCTAGAAAAAGAGCGAGGCGGTTGTAATTTCATGGTGTTTTGACGTGTGAATGGCGGACAGTTTCACTGGGCAAGGAAACGGAGAGTAGTTGACTTTTATTCGACTGCGCTCCACCCCCCCCCCCTCCCCCGCTCCTCATGGTTACCATTTGGCAGGGAGTTGAAGAGGATGGGCGCAACTGGGTGTGTGGGGCGATCGCATAGAGGCAATCAAAAGGAGGTGAGTCGCACAAAAATTTATAAAAGTGCGAACTGCGACGGATGATTGATCCAGACCTCCATAAGGGTTACGGGTAATAGGTATTGATTTCCAGCGATGGGCTGATGCCACCAGCGGGCTAACGGTCAGGGACTCAAGGCGCGTGCGGCGCGCGGTTGCCCGCAACCGCCCTCTCGCGTCTGAACCTGGGCCGCTTTAGCCCAGAGAAAGCGCTACGCGTGGGAAAGAGGCAGACAAATACCTATGAGACTTCACATTAAACCAACGCCGGAAAAGATGCGGTCAAGTTTTTTATATAATCGGCGGCACGCTTGCTTTTACTTTGAGTTAATCTTATGGGCGGGCGTATTGCTCGTGAATACTCCGCCTTTGAGGACGTTGAAATGACGGCTCATGTTTTGGAGTTTCCATTGCATGGGACCGAAGATTTTACAGGGGTGCCGCCGCTTCACCCCTCATCCGTAGATTTCGAGCAATGAAAAGTTTAGCTTTGACGAAATAATTCCAACAACATTCAATGTGTTCAACGTATCGGTGGGTAAAGTAGTAAAGTTTAATCAAAAGTATGTTCTTCAGCAAAACTATTGCCCTAGAATAGTAAACTATTTTCTACCGGTTAGTTTTTTCCATGCCACTCGATGACTACAAATACAAGAACTCAGGCATGCA